GCAATTTTTTTTCCTATTTTTAAAAGCAGAGAAAGCATGAATTGATTTCTAATGAATGAAATCATTCAAAACTTTGCATCTCAAGGAAAAACAAAATTAGAAACGAACAACTAATAGACATCTGCAAAATCGCACGAGATAAGTACAAATATTAAACAAAGAAATTACTGAAAATAGTTCAACTAGCAAAAAATAGCAACAAACCTCGGTCATTTGTCTTTGTCCACAAATCATGGCACCAGTGCCCTTAGGGCTATCAATTTGCTTGGCCCTAGCAAAGGCAGCCTGCAAAAGTCAAAGCAGGTTACAACAATTTGATTATTATGGCATCAAGCAATCTTAAGACATGGATGTGAAGTTGTGAATAAGCACTCTACCTGTACATAGCCACTTTCACCGGTCCAACCATCATCTGGCTGTGATAATACTGGCACAACCTTGACACCCGAAGATTCCCAGTCTTTAAACCTATCCTTTAATAGGAGACCACAAACAAGAGCTTCAGAACCAAACATAGGATTAGTTTATTCTAGAAAACTAAAGTCTAACAAATGGACAAGTAAGCCCCAGACCTGATAAGCCATTCTCCTAAGGTTTCTAGCCCCATAATAGAGCCTCACATCAGATCTCTTATCAGCACCAAATCCTGATTCAATGAGAGAGCGAATTGGACTGGAAATGAGAAAGTGAAGAGAAGTAAGCTACAATGCTGCATGGAACATACAAGTATACAATTTAGGGCTTTTAAATGCCATGTAATATGACCTGTATTCCCATTTGGATATATCTTTACAATCAACAACATTTTTTATAAGAATTGGAGGTCTCGTTAAACCCCCTTCATAATTGCCATAAACCAAAAGATTCATGGCAAAAAGTGGAAGGGGGAAAAGAGTACCTCAAGTTTTATTAATAGATGGAAAAAAACTCTACTTTTCAAATAGGAAAATTAGCATACACCAAAAGCAGAGCACTACAAAAAACCTCCTCGAAAAACCTAATTCAACCAATTCCTTCTTTAGCCAACTCATCAGCCTCCCTATTTGCACTCCTAGGAATGTAACGAAGAGAAATCTTATCCCTACTAATCATAGCCACAATCTCCTTGACTATAGAAACAAAGCCACCGGGCATCCGATAGGATTCTCAATCCACTCAATAGCGTTCATGCAATCGCTTTCCAGAATTAACGAACCTTCATTACCCAAATCCGAAGAGGAAAACAGAAGGAGGCCAGCTCTTATCACTTTAAGTTCTGCCAACGCTGGAGGGCCGAAATCAATGGACTCCAAGAAAGAAGAAAGCGTTTGACCCCGAGAGTTCCTAATTAAACCCCCGATACCTCCTTTGCTCCAGTCCTTACTAACAGCTCCGTCCACATTCAATTTCAAGGACCCTTCTGGAGGAGGAGACCACCTCGAAGAGGGCAAGATAGCCGGAGAATACTTCTTGCATATTACACTGTAATCGGCTATGGAAGGATCCTGTATCACGGAGTCTAGCATAAGTGGAACCTTTGAATGTTTAGCTGAGAACCAATAAGCTAAACGACACCTATCCAAAAAACAAAGTCGGCGGGAAATCAGCACTGTCACCCTCGAATACAATAGCATTCCTTAATTTCCATAATGACCAGAAGATAACCCCAGGGATGAAAGCCCAAATCCGAGACTGTGGAGCATAAGAAACCCAAGCAGACAAGAGAATAGACAGCTCATTTGGAAGAGCAGTGGAGATATCCCAGAAAAGAATAAAATGGGACCAAAGTCCCCAGGCAATTTTGCATTCTAAAAGCAAATGAGAAACATATTCTGGAAGCAGCCCACATAGAGGGCAAGAAACATCAGTTATACCTGGATCACCTCGTTTGGATACACAACAAAGGGAAGTGATGCAGGAGCTATTATTTTTCTTTTATGTTAATTAATTGTTTCCGTTTTGTTTATGAACTATTAGGTATAAGGAAAGGATTAAATCTTTAGAGTATTAATCAAGGGCTACAACCAAATCTTTACTTACATCCTTCACATGAATAGCTGTATTATAGATTTAAGCCACCTTATTATTTTCTTCACTTAATATTCTTCAGAAAGTAGAAGTTTTTATAATCCTGTGTTTTCAAGAATTTGAACATCTATCTTACTCCTTTTTCAGCCTCAATTCTATTGATTTAAAGCTATTTCCCCCTAATCCACGCCAATTTTGGTATTAGAGCCTAACTAGACCCAAGAGTTAATAGTAGAGTTTGCTTTTATGTCATGTTGGACACCGTAGAGGGGGGGTCAAGAAACAACACTGGCTGTGATATTACATGTGATTGAAGTGTTGCTGTATATAATTTATGCTAGGCGGCACCAGGAACCAGTACCCAGATGGAAATTCTTGAAGGTAAACTTAAAATCAGCATATGGGAACATATGAAAGCAAAATTGCCAGAGCAATTCTTACCAGCTAATTATGCATATATTTGTATGAGAAGCTACAGTTGCTAAAGCAAAAGAGATTTCTGGTGGAGTATACTTCTAAATTAACAATCTCTATGTTATCATGATATGTTGAACTAAAAAGATGGTTATGGGATTAAACTTCTTTCAAAATAAGAATCACCATAAAGAATGATAACATTTCCACATCATGTGTGCCCATAATAAAACAACAAACTTCATTTTCCAATTCGGTTAGGTTTTGAAAACGATTCAAGCTAAATCAGCCAATTAGGTTTTTTTTATGCTTTGTTATATTGAAAGGGAAAGGTGTTACTGCAAAAAGAAAAGCATACCTATAAAACAAATCTCATGAGTATGCAAATCCAGAAATCCATGGCAGCTATTCCATCCATCTCTATTTAAAACACAGATGAAGTTGACAAACTAAACAATCATATGCTATCATGACATGAAAACTTCCTATCAGATATCATCATACTCATGCTGTTGAATCTGAAAACTATGAAGATTCAAACAGATGGTTTTACCACTAAAAATATGAAACCGAAAAGAATAAAGGATATTGAGCACAAAAACCACACAAAATTGAACAATTAAAATATACTAGTTTAAAATTGTGTAGCCAACAAACACCGGTTCATCCTTGAAGTGTCCAAAGGACATTATATGAGACCATATACTGAACGAAGATCCATACATGATTATGCGCGAAGAGAAGTGCAAACTTCTGAGCTCCACAGAGCATCATCACAAATTATCACAGAAAGCCAACAGACTTACAATGTTACAATCATTTCGCAGAGAATGCCCATCTCACAATTGTACATTCTAAACCTTAAAAGCATCACCAGGGGTTTGCTCGAATATAATGTATGAATAAGAGCAAAAACTGGACTGCAAAATGTTCCAACAAATTTTCACCTAATTGAGCAAACTCCAATGTCAATATGTTCAAATTTTACAAGAAACAAAGCATGATAACAGAACAAAGCTTTAGCTTTAAAGTTAATTAGTGTAAACGCGGAATAAAACATGCCTTTTAGCCAAACAAACATAAAAGAGAAACCCTAACCTGATTCCTGACCCAGTAGCGAAAATTAAAACCGTCGGATAATCCTCAGGCGGATCGATTTTATCAGTATTAAAGCCGTTTCCCATAGCTTGAGTAAGCTCCACCACATCCCCTTTCTTTAACCCGCACAAGAGCTCCGCCGTCGACCCCTCCACGCTCTTCACCAAAAACTCGAAAGCTCCAGTTGAGGCCACCAGTGATGGAGGAGACGCTATGGCCAGGAAAGATGGTTTCTCCACATCAGGGAGTCGCAGCTGGAGGTACTGTCCCGGTAAGGTATGCGAGGACACGAGGTCAGGAGAGTTCGACACGTCGATGCTAACGTGGAAGAGGGACTCGGCGGCTATCTCGATTGATGAGATCGGTGACGGGGTCCAGACAGTGGTGTCTTGGCGAACTGCGGCGAGAGTAGCGAATCGACGGCGAGGGAGGCGATGACGGGGGGTCAAGAAGCGGAAGGGGAGTCGGCGCAGGATAGACATGGGAAGGGGAGGGGCGCTAAAGGGCGCATGTGGTACAGAGGGTGTAATGACGGTCATGGTCTCTGCGGTGAATTGTGAACGAGAATAAAAGATGGTTGCGGTGGCGGGGACTCGGGAGTCGGGAGAGAGGAGGCACTAAAGGTGGGCTGGATCCGATGAGGTGGCGTTTCATAAAATGAGCCCACGAGCGACTTTTGGAGGCTCCACGTGGCATTTCGATGATGTGATATCCTAATTCCAGAGATAAGCAGCGCGGCCCACTTCATTTAGGGTTTTTCCCTATTTTTTTAGTGCCATTAATAATGTAAACTTGAATATCAAATGTCTTATTGTATTAAACTTGAAGAGAAAAAATTGGGCCCCATAAAAAAGTCGCTACTTGCCATTTGGGACCCATAAAAAAAGTCACTACTGCATTTCCGTGTGATATAATGAATGATTGTTATTTTTTGAGGATTTGAGTTTAAGTATTATAGATGTAAGGGATGTGAGCATTCAATGTCAAAAAATTAAGAGTTATATTTGAATAGATATTAGTTTGTACTTACCCTAGATTAATAAAAATAAATTAGAATGATTAATATAAAACCAATAACTTCATAAATTAAATAAAGCATTAACGGGAACAAGCATTAAGGGTGGAGGTTACATCAAGATATTCTCCAACACAACATACAAACAACTAGTGGCATGACATGGAGATGCAGCCATGTATGACAGGTGCTTGTTTAGAAATATCAAAACATAAGCGTATGTAGTCAGAGCTTGTTTAGAAATATCAAAACATAAGCGTATGTATTCAGATTACTAGTGAATATGATTCTTTTCTTAGCCAGTGCTGCAATCTTTCATCAACCAGGAGGCCAAGCATCTGCAGAATGGAGCAAGAATCATACTTCACATCATATTCCATGAAAACCAAAATAAAAGCACAAGGATATATTCATTACTTAATCAATTCTATAAAATGAATCATACTCCCAATTTCAGTTTCACCCCCCTAAGAAGCCAATATATCATGAACAACACCCCGTTTTGGCAGACTCAGCGTCCTGTAAATCCCTATGGACGCTTCGATGCTCCCTATCCCCACTTCGGTTCCGACGGATTCGAACCCTTTTTAAATCATCCCATTTCCTTCCAAGCCGCCGCGGTACGCGTACATACTTCTGTTGCTTCTTTTCTAGTCTAGCCAGTATTAAATTGTCCAAGTTTCATTTGTTCAGATTTCTAGGAAGATTTCCTGGATATTTTTTCCTGCGTGAACTGCTTTATAGTTATTCCCCCCCCCCCACTTTGGTGCATCATCTTACTGGGTTGTTAATCTTTGTGATGTACCTTCAGAACCCTATTAGAGGTTCAAGGCATCCATGGCAGATGCCACACCCACCCCTCGGTTTTCCAGGGTAAATTCATTTATTTATCACTCATCTTAGAAATCGAAACATATGCCATTATCTAATTTACTGTCTATATATAAAATGGATGCCTTGAATATAAACTCTAGAAAAACATTATATTCTAGTTTCACAGACTATCAACGTGCTCCTGCTCCGGTAGAAACATATTGGTTCGAAGCTTTCCCCGCTAGATCAGTTAATCCAAGGTTTTCAGGGCCTCTTCCGAGGACCTCGAGTACTCGGCAAGAGAATTCGAGATCGAATCAAGAGGAGGAAAACAAAGTATTAAGTAAGCTGAAGAAGGAAATTTATAATCCGATGCAGAAGCAGATGACGAAGAGATTGAATTCGAATTACCGAGATAAAAAACTGGGTAATGAGAAGGGAACAGAGATGGATGAAGATGGGAAAAGGTGTGCAGTTTGCTTGGAAGATTTCGAGGCCAGAGAGAATGTGATGGTGACTCCATGCAATCATATGTTCCATGAGGAATGTATCCTGCCGTGGGTGAAGGATCACGGACACTGTCCGGTATGCAGATTCGTGCTCAGCGATCGTATTAGAAGGACACCGTCTTCCGATAACAACACCCTGAATGCAAATGAGTTGCTCCAGAGAGAAATGAACTCGATTATAAGAGCTATGGAGGAGGCTTTCTTGTGGGACAATTCGCTCTGATACATACATATATGCATTTCTTGTACTCAAATCCCTGATATTTTTAATGGTGAATTACTGAAAAATAAAAAAAATATATAATATTAAATATGATTTTAAAAGATAATAAATTTATGGGTAAATTTTGCTACTTCGAGGTGGCTTCAATGTTTAGATTGATATTTTATTTTTTTTGTTCAATTATACACTTAAACTTTGTTTTAAGGTTCATTTTAGTACCTAAAAGTGATTTCAATGTTCAATTTGATACATGGATTTATTTTTTTTGGTAAAAAAATTGTTTTTACAATTTTTAAATCAATTTAAAACGAGAAACCAATTTTACGTATCTCCTTGATTGAAGAAATTAGATACTAAATTGAACCCCGAAGCCAAGTGCAAGTATTGAAGAGAAAAAAGTTAAGGTACTAAATTAAAACCTAAAGCTAATTTCAGGTACCAAAATATACATTTACCCTTAATTTATATAAAATTGACAACTTGAATTATCTTTTAGAATATTTTCTTTATTATTGGTTTTTCCACGTTCCTTACCGAGTTTCAACTCTCCACGTTGTTCTTGTACCGACAAGTTTGTGAATTTCAACTCATTCCAAGTCTGTTTCTTCCCCAAGGCAGAAAAATGGCATCTCCAATCTCCTTGTACCTTCTCCTCCTGACCCTCCTTTCCTTTTTCACCGCCGGTCACGGCTCAACCTCAGATGTCCACGATCTGCTCCCGTCGTACAATCTTCCAAAGGGCATCATTCCCGACAACGTCAAGTCCTACACCCTCTCCTCCACTGGAGACTTCACGATAGAGCTGGAAAGCACCTGTTATGTTCACTTTGATGAGCTGGTTTACTACGACAAGACCATCACGGGGAAGCTGAGTTACGGGGCTGTGCGCGGTATATCTGGGATTCAGGCAAAGATGTTATTTTTATGGTTGCCTGTTACTGGGATTGAGGTCGATGGGAATTCGGTTCAGTTCTTCGTTGGATCTTTGTCTAAGACTTTGCCTGCCCAACAGTTCCAAGATATCCCTGTTTGTAAGAGGAAGCCTCTCCTGAGGGGCGCTGACCTGATTGGTTCTGTGTGAATTCGGGTACTTTTTTCCTTTTCTTCAAGGTTCTGAATTTCATGTTTTCGATTCTTGTTTTCCGAGTTACATTCTTGTGGAATTGTTAGTAGAAATTGGGGAACTTAGTGTATTGTTGTACAAATCTGATTTGGTATGGAGGGTGTTCTTTGTGAAGAAAAGCTTTCATTCTTGGTTTTCCATTGTGCAGGAGTCGCAGGTGGGGAATTTAAGACTTCTGTTTTGCTCAGTAATTTCATTGAAGCTCTCTTGTTATTACTTTGTGGTTCATAGAACTGTATGTTTGTTTCCATCAAAATAAATGATTCATCGGACAAGTTGTGAAATTGGTATTATTTCTGCATGATGATTGTAATGATGACGGAAAATTATTGAAGAGTATCGATATATGTTTTACTTTCCATTCTTTACTCGCCGTCACTCACCGGCCGCAGCCAAACCAGGTACTCTCTCTCCGACCTGCCTTTTAACAAAAACGCCATTGAACATTGCTGTGTTTTCCATGATCCTTAACTTCATATCAGAGCTAAAAATTACAGAAAATAGTTGAATATATACGTAGCTGCTTATACTCAAAATTGCTTCAAAGCTATCGAAATTATGCAGTAAAATTCGGGATAGTTGATTTCTTTGTTCCTTGAGCATGAATTCTGACTAGTAAGCTAGAGATAACGAGCTCAATAGCAACAATTCTTCAGTAACTTCGAGGGATACCTTTGCCAAAACAAAAGCCCACTTCAATAGAACTGCAATTTTTGCCTTAAAGGCTCACCTAATTCAAAGATTTAAACAATTAGGAAAAGAAGTAATATGACTTCTCTAACTGGGTGCATTAGTTCTACTTAAAAATTTGTAAAACTAAATATGATGATTTGACCATTAAAAAGAATAAACTATAAACTTAAGATGAAAAGAAAACAGCATTGTCAAGAGCGTAATTTGTCTCACCTGATTTGTAAATAAACATAATCACCCAGTGCTTGGTTTTTGTTGGTTGCACTTTGTCATAGACTCATTGATTAAGTTCTTCATTGTTGCGTGTATTGAAGCATAAGAAATTCTTAACACCCATGTAACTTAGTACCAAGTTTCAAACCATGTCACAATCCCTCTATTACTACACTCAGATTTCAACCTGTTGTATAGTTTATCAGATGTCGGTTAACTTCTATAGTTCTTCATTCTCTTTGTTTGTACTATTGGTTTGAAACTAAATTATCTTTTTTTTATTATTAAATCAATGACTCGGTCCTAATACAAAATTAAATGCATTTTTTTCAGCGTACTCTCTGTTGACCAGCTGCATATTCGTTAAGGATGGTAATGTCATTGCCTCGGGTAGAAATTGAACCTTTGAGACACGAAATGTAAATAAATCTCCTCCCTCCTTTTTTGATCAGTTTGACGTTTTCATATTATGCCTCATTGATCTCTCTTGATTCATGTTGGTTGTACAAATCTCAATGAAGGTATTTAGTACTTAAAATGGTCTTTTGTGTGCATGCACGTTTATGAGAAACATTTATGCTTGTTTGTGCATCATTTTGGTTGTCATATGCTTTTAGTAATCTGTTGGTTGTTGCAAGTGACATGACTTATTAATTGGTCTTCTCTATATTTTTTATCCAAAAGTTTTACTGCATTGTTTATGTTAGTCCATGTTAAGCATCTTTAGAATTCTCATCTTTCCCTATGATGCTTATGTAAATCCAAAACTACTAACCCGTAATTTGGGTTGTTACAAATATAATTTGGTTCAATACTTATCTTTAACACTTCTAAATCAACTCATGAAAATCACGTCTAACACTTTAGTATAGGTGAATGTGTCACATCAACTATAGACATTTGTAGTTAATCAATTAACAAAATTTCTTTAAATATATATTATTTTATCTCAAAATAAAATGTTGAGGGATTAAAGACTTAAAGTGTTAAAAAAAGAATAAATGTTAAAGTAATTATTTAGATAAACAATGTGAGCATTTTTGGCACCATGTCTTTTTAAAATTGTTAAATATAAAAACAATATCCTATATTATTTTTCTCGAAGTGGTGCCTAAAAGTTTTTGCGATTCATCTAGATGTGTAATGTTATAAAAGTTACCACTTTAGGTACCTTAACTGTAACAACTGTTAAAAAACTTGTTAAGTGAAATGTATCACATTTTTTTTTTAATTTTAAAAATAAATAAAAAAAATATAATTCCTCACATGCTCATCTCTTCTCCCTCCACATACTCCTCCCTCCCCCTATCAGGTAAAAGGTTAATTGGTGGGCGGAAGTAGAATTTGACGATTGATGAGTGAGCTTTGACGACAATATATAGTAGCCGGTGGGTAAATGTTGTGACGGGAGAGGAATATAAAGGAGAAGAAGAAGCAACAGTGAGGGGTGCTGCGACGGTGATCGAAACACTAATGAGGCTTGTATCCATCACTATAGACGATGATGTCGTTTTCCGGTCGTCATCGGATTCGTCGAAAATGATTTCAGTCAACCAAATATTAATATGGGATGGAACAGAGATTTAGAAAGTTTAGATTTTTTTGGGTATTTTAGAAAAAAATAGGCTTTTTGAAAATAAAATATTTTAAAGTTTTTTAAATAAAATTTTAAATTTACTAGATTATGACATATGCCACTTAATGAGTTTTTAAGAGCCGTTAAAGTTAAAATATCTAAAGTAATAACGTTTGTAATGTTAGACACCTGAATAGATTGAAAAACCTTAAACACCACTTTAAGAAAAACAATATAACTTAAAACACTTATATATATATTAAACTTTTTTTAAAAAAGTTATAATTAAAATAATATTACATATTTGATGATAGTTCAAAGAATATATATTAAACTAATACTTATAAATATATTACACAAAGTGAATTCGATGCAAGTATAGCGAAGTTAAAAGAGGGAGGAGTATCCCACATCCACCCCACTGTTAAATTCTTAATTTTTTAAAAATTATTCTAAAAATTTAGTTTTTATTTTATTTTAGTACCCTACTGTAAAAAACTTAACAAGTTTAGTATTTAAACTATCAAATTTGATCCGTTTTAGTACCTAAACTTTCAATTTATTTCAAAACATATCGTTAAATTTAGAACAAATACTAAAAAACCAAAACCAAACTTTAGATATAATTTTAAAAAATTGAAAGTTTAGATACTAAAACATACCAAAATTAATAATTTATATATTAAACATGTAATTTACCCAAAAATTAAATATATATCCCGAATCTTTTTAATGTTTAACCCGCTCAAATTTCACGGCGAAAATTTATCCTTAATCCGACTAAAATCTTACAATATTTTTCCGCGATCAAACGGTTATAACAAAATTGAAAATTTCCTATTTCAAAACTCAAAAACAAAATAATAAACCTAAGCAGATCTGCAAATGAGATTGAAATCAATATATATATATATATATATATATATATATAATTATTCACTCTTTCCTTTTTTGTTGTTGTCATTTAATTCCTTAAATCCTTCTTTTTCTCATTCCTTTAGATGCTATCATCTTTATCTCACGCTACCAAAAATCTAATCCAATCAAACCAAAAGTCCAGCAAGAATGTGTTACGGGTATAACGCCCAGACCACTGCTTTCCTCTGCATTCTTTTGCTTGCAAGTTTGATTTCCGAAACACCATTTTCACATACAGAATCAATAGTAGATAGAGTTTTCCGCTGGAGATACAAAGTTCACATCCTGAACGGGATGCCGGACAATGCTATGCCGTTGGAGATCGGTTGCCGGTCGAACGAAGACGATCTCGGCCGCCACACTCTCTGGAAGGACCAAGAAATCAAGTTCAACTTCACCGCTCAATGGTTTAAGAAAACACATAATGTGTGCAACTTCTACTGGGGATTCAAGGCTTTTAGAGATGTCGCTGTCCTGGATGAGGTTGCGGAAAGTGGACAGAAAGGTAATTGCCTCTGGAAAGCAGCTCCCGAGGGGATTTATTTTAGCTCTGATTTCCAGAATTGGGCGCTCACATATGGTTGGTGATGGATCGGATGCATATCCATCCATCGTTCTTCATATTTAATAAAATTATTTTTATGTTTTTTTTTCTCATCGTAGGATGGAGATTGGGTTTAATTAATCTTTTAGGTAAATTAGTGCAAAAATACTCTTGAAATGAAATTGGAAAATGACAACTCAAATTTTTAATTATGATCCGGATACTTTTTACGATATTCTTTTATATAAAAAATAAGATAAACTTGTTTGACATTGATTTTGCGATCAAAACGAACTTTTTAACTTAAAATGTTTTTTAAAAATCACACTAAACATGACCTTAATTGATGATAATATTTACAGTAGTCATGTTGTAGAACCGTAACCAGTGGAAAAAATGACGAGATTATTTTAAAGTATACAAATATAATTTAAGATGAATGTATAATAAACTTTATTTTTATTAAATTAATATTTATCAGATAAATAATATCTTGTATTTACTCCAAATTAATAAAAAAAAATTATCATATACCACTTCACCTTTAGATATTAGTATGATCTAACTTTATTTTTTTTATTGAAAATAATGATTAAATACAACTTCGTACCAATTTACCAAACTTACTAAAAATATTATCAAATATTTGGGTAGTTGTATTGTACGAAAATCTTAATATAAGACTAAAGAAATGTCATATAAAAAATATTGATATTTTTTTAATGTACAACAACTGTATATTAAAATTGTCTTACCTTATACATGTGTTAAACAAACAAAATTAAGAGGCTGACTTTTAGGCCAACTTTTTGATTTTAAGGGTGTGTTTGGTTCACGGAATGTAAGATTATCAGTGAGAATGTAAGATTATCAGAGAATATGATTACTGAGAATGTTGTATTTTTTGTTTGGTTGGCTTAGCAGGAATGTAAGATTACCGTGTTTGGTTAAAGGAATAAAAGATTATTGGAATGTATATTTGATCAAATTGTTCTTATTATATATTTATTTTTTTAACAAGTTGAAAAATATTTATATATTTTCTTTAAAAAAATTAAATTCATAAAATTTATATAATTTTTTTTACAAAATTAAAAATATAAAAAATGTTTAATGAAAGGGTAAAATTTTATTTTAACCCTTGAACTTCATATTAAATTTTAATTATAGATTTTTTTTGTAAATCTAAAATAGTTTAAGGATAAATTTGTAATTTAACCTTTGTAGAATTTTTATTATTCAATGACAGAAGAATGATATTTTTGAAAGAAAAAAAATTAAGGGCATTTTATTCCAAAATGCCGGTAATCCAACAATACCTAAAGAAAGGGAGGTAATGACATTCCCGATAATATACCCCAAAAAATATACTATTGGTAATCTTATATTACCGGAAATAGGATTCCCGGACTAACCAAACGGAAGAATGTGGATTTAATTCCCATATCCAAACACCCATAAATCCAAACGTACCCCACTTAGTTGAAATTTACAGTCGAAGGTTGATCGTGATTTATTGTTAAAAAATTATATATAAATTGAGATAATATTTAAAACAGTCAACTTCAAATAGTCAACATCATTATTATTTTTTTAATGGTAGATGACTAGAATAAAATTAAAACTAAATATTTAATTTGATTTTGACAAAAATAATTAGATAATCAAAGCGAAATAAAACTAATAGTTGAGGTATTAAACGTGTAGTTTACCATTATTTTTATTTCATATAAATTAAAATAATAGTCAAACACAAAGGTGATAATACTTATTAACACAATTAACATCAATGTTTGATTTATTGATTAATTAATCTTAATTGAATATTATAGGAACCTATTATGAGGATAATTTTTAACGTAATTTGTTCCGTTCATTATGTCATAATTTAAACTCTAAACCTTATTTAGGAGATTTAATGTTTCATCCTTTATTGAGTGTAAAGACTCTTACGATATTTGTTTTCTGATTGGTTTGTCAGTAGTCATGTATGGTCAGATCTCCTCTTTAGTAAAAGATTATTTAAGGATATAATCAGAATTGTGTAACGGAACAGTCTGTGAGATAATTTGATTCGCTCATCACTCATTTATTACTCCGTAAAGTATTTCGTTTAACAAAGATAATAATTTTTTTATAAAGGTTATTATATTCTTTTTTTAATATTAATCGTAAAATTTGACAAAGAATAATTCAACATCTGTATGGCAAAGAACACTTCCAAAGAATTTTCTATCCAATCAATTTTGTAAAGTGAATGCTTTTGACCACTTCATTCAAACTCCAACTCACTGATCCCCAAACTGCAATTTCAGGCTGGACCAGCAACTCGTCTCACTGCAACTGGTTTGGTATCACTTGCACCACAAATGGTTCTCGAGTTGAATCCCTCCAACTCAGTTCACTCGGCCTTGTTGGCACCTTACCTCCTCCTCTCCCAAACCTCACTTCCCTTACCACACTCAATCTTTCCCACAACTCATTCCATGGCCAATTTCAATTGGAGTTTAGCAGACTTTCCCTCCTTCAACATATTGACCATAGAAACAACTCCATTAATGGAACTCTTCCTGCTGCTCTTTCTCATTGCCATAACCTCGAAACACTTAGATTACAAGGCAACAAATTTACTGGAAATATTCCACCTCAATTAGGTAATCTCCAAAGACTTACAACCCTTTTCATTGCTGTCAAGAATCTCACTGGTTCAATCCCCTCTGCATTTGGAAACATTTCCTCTTTAACATATCTTAATCTTGCTCGAAACATGTTAACCGGTGAAATTCCCAGTGAGCTTGGTCACCTTAGAAACCTTCAACAGATCCAGCTCTCTGAAAATAATCTCAGGCCAAATCCCTGCTTCCATTTTCAACATGTCCTCTTTGATTTTCTTGTCTGTAACACAAAATAACCTTTCTGGAAACCTTCCAATTCCTCCAAATGAAGGATATTACCATTTCCCGAATCTCGGAGAATTGTGTTTGGCACTGAACAGGTTTGAAGGAACCGTTCCTGGTTATGTATCTAATTCTTCGAGCATTGAAGTTCTTGATCTGTCTAGGAATAGATTTCATGGTGCCATTCCTTCGTTAGGCAACATGAGGAATCTTACAAGGCTGGACCTTGGTCAAAATCTTCTCTTCTGATACTGCTCGGAATTTTCAGTTCATTGGTTCTCTTGCAAACTGTAGTCAGCTTCAACGTCTGATGATCAATTCCAACAGACTTTCTAGTGAATTTCCATCGGTCGCGACTCTCTCGAGCAATATCCAACATTTTTGCATTTCTGACAACATGTTAACCGGTGGCTTCCCTCAGGGGATTGAAAAGTTGCAGAATCTGATATCTCTGTCAGTTGAGATCAACTCTTTCCCAGGTGATATTCCAAGGAGCAAAGGTACGCTCAGAAACTTGCAGAGCCTTTTGGTCTACCAAAACATGTTCTCTGGAGAAATCCCAGAAATCTTTTCAAATTTAACAGGAGTTTCCGAGATTGCAATGGGAAATAACCAGTTTTCTGGTAAAATTCCCATCAGTCTTGGAGATTCTCAGCAGCTACAAACATTGGACCTGTCTTGGAAACGACTCAATGGAAGCATATCAGAAGAGATTTTCAAACTTTCTGGTTTAAACTACTTGATTTTGGTGCATAATATGCTTTCGGGTCCTCTCCCAAGTGAAGTTGGCAACTTGAAGCAGCTTCAAGTTCTTCATGTTTCTGAGAATAACTTGTTCGGGGAATTAACCTCATCGATCAGCGGCTGTTCAAGTTTGCTATATCTCAACATTTCGATGAACAACATCACTGGTGAAATCCCGGATTCATTAGGAAGTTTAATACCACTAGAGGTCTTGGATCTCTCTTCCAACAATCTTTCAGGGCCAATTCCACATGACTTGGAAAATCTTAAGTCACTCAAGATGCTGAATTTGTCTTTCAATCATTTGGAAGGAGAAGTTCCGACAGGAAACATCTTTCGAACCGCAGCTTTTTCTCGATCCATGGTAACGGTGAGCTCTGCAGTAGCGATCGAGAAATTGCCAGGAAGTTGGAACTCCCTCAATGCAAGACAGAGAGAAGACAAAGGAATTATTACTTGATCAGAATTTTAGTTCCAATTGCTGGAGCTAGTCTGTTAATATGTTTGGTCTCCTGCTTTGTGTGGGCTTTGATATTCAGAAGGAAGAAAAATCGGGTGAAAGGCGGTAAATCATTGCTTTCGGTGAAAGGGTTGCCGCCATTGATAACATACTTTGCTATCCAGCTTGCTACAAACAATTTTGCAGCCAAAAATCTGCTCGGCAAGGGAGGTTTCGGGTTGGTTTACGAAGGTAGATTCAACAACCTTACACTTGCAGTTAAGGTTCTTGAGCTGCAACAAACCAAAGCCGTTCAAAGTTTTCTTGCTGAATGTGAGGCCTTGAGAAATGCTAGGCATTGGAACCTTGTGAAGATCATCACCTCATGCTCGAGTGTCGATCATAAAGGAGATCAATTTAAAGCTCTGGTTTTCGAATTCATGCCCAACGGCAACCTAGACAAGTGGCTGTATCCAGAAGACATGGAATCCGGGACTTTTCTGACCATACAGCAAAGATTGAATATCGCCATAGATGTAGCTTCTGCCATGGATTATTTGCATAATGACTGCGAACCACCCGTTGTCCACTGCGATCTGAAGCCTGCGAATGTACTTTTGGATGAAAATATGGTAGCTCATGTAGGTGATTTCGGATTGGCAAGGTTCCTTTCTCCAAGTCCATCCCAAAGGGAGAACAGCACCATGGGATTGAAAGGCTCGGTTGGTTACATTGCTCCAGGTCAGTAAACTATAAAACCCATATTTATCAACATTAAAAGTTCAGTCAACTTTTGTGGTGAATTTATCTGTAGAGTACGGCCTAGGGAGCAAAGCTTCAACCAGTGGAGATGTCTATAGTTTTGGCATTCTTTTACTCGAAATGTTCATTGCCAAGAGACCAACTGATGGGATGTTTAAAGAAGAATCAAGCCTAAAAATACTGGCTTCAGCTATGGATAGAAATCAAGTTTTTGAGACAGCTGATCCGAGGCTTTCGAAGATCCAAGGAAGTTCAGTACAAAGCTCGTTCATCACTAGCTCCAGAGACAGCAGCAATGGCGGTGATAGCAGCATCGACGGTGGTCACATCGACCGGAAATATGAAGAATGTTTAGCGTCTGTTATCGGAGTTGGATTATGTTGCGCAGCTCAATCAGCCAAAGATCGCTTACCCATGAGAGAAACCTTGACAAAGTTGCATGATATTAGGAAGTATTTACTTAGTTAAGTACCCATCGGCCTCATCTAATCTGCAGCATTCTCTTGTTCCATCCATAACCTCAATTTGCACTAGTTGAAATCAAAACAATACGTTAAAAAAATGCAAATAAATTGTAACCAAATTTTATTAAAAACGATAGAACAACAAAACAACAATCCCGGTGCATAAAATACAGCACCAATAGGAGATGTGGCTAACTTATTCCAAGACACAAAAGCGTTATTGTAGACAGTGAGCGATCAAGAACCGCTGTTCCAAGGGTAACACATATCAAACTGGGAGGTTTTAGAATTGAACATGCAGGGACCTTTGGGTGTTATATTCCACAAGCAACGATTGCAGTGTCGGGAATCCCTGTTCTGCTCGTATATGTCGAACCAATGCGACCCTCCGTTCCACTGCATCTTGCAGAAAAACAAGGTGTTCCCCCAAAAGTGTGGGCGGAACTTGAACTCGAAGTGGTTGCGGTAAGCTAGAACGTGGACTCCGAGATCGTCGTTCTTCGATTTGCAATGGATGGTGAGATCCATCCCGACGTTCAAGTCATTGTAGATTAGTATATCGGCTTTACGTATCAAGAAACTCGCTTCGGTTGCAACGGAAAGCAGGGTTAGAGACAGCAACAAAACCAAGTTGATCGCCCGTGAACTCATGTTTGCTTCTGCAAAATTATTTATTCAATTGTGAGAATAAATCTTTTATAAATGAACCTTGATTCGATGGAAATTATAGTATGAAGTTGTACAAAATCAAATCAATATCAAATTTATCTTTAAATTCAAATTGAAGTATTTAAATGCATACCGACCCTAGTATAAATATATAATTATAAAATTGATTAAAACGTTAAACCACACCATTAATCACCCAATTATTATCTTGTTTATGTTTTAGCCACTGAACTAGAAAAACTTTCAATTTTGTCACTAATATTATTTTTATCAATTCAATTCTAATCACCTATTAGTTTTAAATAATTAATGAAAATGATCGTATAATAAAATCTTTAATATTCTAAATTTATGTACTACTAGAAAAAAAATTACTGCTCAATCAACCTAGAACTTTTAGTGCTTAAGTTCATTTGTTACCCAATAATATTAAGAATAGTCAGTAATCACTCTAAAAAAATAAACACATAGTTAATTCTATTGTAACTATGAAAGTAAATATCATAAATTAATATAATTTTAATCATAATTAACAGAGTAATTGATTTTGGTCATAATTAACAGAATGATTAATGCGATGCATTTTTAATTTATATAATAATATATTTGATACTCAACACTTGTATATTCTATCTATCGATTTAGTCCTAATTTTAACAGTCGCTTTGCCTCGAACGTATGAGAATAATTTTGTATGAAAAAAAGGGGTAAAATCCTAGAAACAAGCATCGATCTTTTAGGCTTCTCCTTATCCGACCCTTTCTGAATTTTGGGTTGATTTGTATTTGAGTGATGGACGAAGCGTTTTGTAATTGCCTTTAACTAATTGCCTTTAAAATGCAACAGAGAAACAATTGTACTGATCATTCTATTTCCCGATTTGTGCGTTGTGCTGTTCTAAGGAAAACCATCACTTCAATCATTTATGATTCGAAACCAACATTGGCAAAATGGGTTATTATCCCTATCAAACACCCAAGATATATATATATAAAAAAAAAATCAAGGATGCTCAAACGGTAGCAACTACAAAAAAAATAAAAACCGTGGTCGACCACCGCGTCGGAGCCTTACTTCATTGCATCACTTCCAATCTTTTGATCCCACTTTTCAACGGTGGAATTCCCGGAGACATCAGTTAATAACTTTTGGACCGTTGGATCTTCCGAAGCAAGCGGCGGTCGTTTGTCGAGAAGGAGTGATAGTTGAGAGCAGAGCTTAAGTTGTTTGCAAAAACAAGAAGAAAAATAAATGTATTTTTAAAATTTAAAAATTTATAAAATCTATAAATGTATTGAATTATATAGAACTAAAATCAAATTGTATTGTTTTTCACGAAAATAAATAAATAAATGAGATTGATCAAAACATATTGGAAACAATAGTGATGAAATTGAAAATTCTTTTATTTTAATGATCAAAGCAGAAAAGTTAAATAAAAAACTGTGTAATATATATACCATAAGTAAAAACAAATAATATTTTTAAAAAGGTTAAAAGTAAATATTTAATTCGCCTATACAAAATAATAATTAATTATTATACTATGAGCGGTTTATAGCATCTTCCCATTTTCAGAATTTCACCTATAAATTATCTATCTATAAAATTAAAAAAAAAAAAACAAAATCTTGAAAAATTATTACGCACACGATAAGGTTATAATACCCCGGCGTCAAAAAATCAACTTTGTTAAATACTTGTGGTTTTAAAATTTGAAAATTATAAATTTAAAAAAATAAAACACGAACGAGTCAATCTATTTTTAAAATCGAAAAATATAAAATTTATTTTAAAATTTTAAAACACTATATTTCCCTCGAATTTGAAAAAAAAATATCCACACGTTATAAAAAAATTATTGAAATCACGTTGGTAATGTCGTTAATATTATTAATACGAAAATATTATTTTAATTTTTAAAAAATCAAAATCATTATGATAAATTATAATGGAATACAAATACGTATAAAAGATTACTAATTAAATCAAAAGCATTGTTTTAGTTTCATGGCGGATTTGACTCGTAATCTAATTTGGGAGATGGCAGTTAGGTATGCTTTAATTTTGTAATCTAATCTTAAACTTAGCCGACTCTATTCTCATGTGTAATGGGGTAAAGGGAGGTATGATAGTAGGTTACCCCCAACGTCAGGTTGAGAGCAACTTCCGTGGGAGACCTCCGACAATCAGAATTATGAATTACTCACCGTGGGACTCGATCCCACGACCACAAGGTTAAGAGCCTTGCGCTTGCGCTCTACCAACTGTGTTGGACGAGCAATTTGTAATCTAATCTTAAGATCCTAATTAATTAACAGAAAAACATGAGTATCATGTGAAACATAAGCATATCAACAAATGAAAGTAAGAAGAATCAATGAACAGTAAAACTTGAGAGGTGGGATGAAAGTGGGAAGTTACCCAAAGAGTGAAGATCAGTTTACCCGAATGCTTGACTGCTTCGTTTGGTATTTTGTTGGTATTTGATTTCGGGGTTTGTGGAATTGAATTGATTGTAGGGTAAATGGGAATGCCGGGAGAATGTAGTGAAGATGAAGCTTATGGATGAATGACCCCTCCTTTTATAACCCTATTTCACCCACTTACTAGTTTTTCACGGCTGATCAAATAATTACTGGTGATCATATGGGCTGACACGTGTCATTTTCAATATCCTTTTTTTAGATAATGAGATTCACAATAACATAATACTCGTTAGTTTAATAAATACAAAAGTTATCCTGAACAATCATGACATTCAAATTAACCCTGCGAATTCAACCCAAACAAAATATAGTTATGGCACTACTAAATTATATATGTGTGATGGTTTGTAGTTCATTATCATGAATTATAGTTTTCTCCCATTCATTGCGTATCTCACTTTTGTTTTCAGTCATGCAACTTTATTTTTTTTAATATATATGGCCAAATTACTGGGATAATGTATCCCAATTTTTTAATTCCCCAAATAATGTACCTGTTGAATTGTTTCTCAGGATAGGCCGTTTGCTACAGTGGAACTTGAAGATGCCGTGTAATTCATGTGGCTTGTGGAAGACGCCGAGAGCTCTATAAGTCTTCAAGGGTGGAGGGTGAACACACCGAGCAATCCGTGCATCTTCAAGGCTGGATTCGATGGGTGAAGATGCACTGTGTTCGATGCGTCTTGAAGATGAAAACCCCATGATTTATATTCGTCTTCAACATTCATTCCCGATGCTGGTAGACGCCCATGTCCCTATGTGTGTGAAATCAAATCAACTTTGTATTAAAAAATATAAATTAGGTGTATATATGGACGAATTGGGGTGTTAGATTGAACAAAAAATAGCGAAGAGTGAAAGAGTGAAATCATAGGAGTATTTAGTGGAAGAAAAATAGTGAGATTGAAAGAGGAAGCAAGAAATTGGAAGGAATATTCAGTGGTGCATTTGAGAAAAATTTTAACAAAATTTTCTTTTTTTTTTCTAAAGTAAGTATTCAAATAATTTATATAAATGTTTAATATTTTACCTCATAATATTCTGTTAAATGATATTGTTGAGTTCATTTGCATATTAAAGAGTAAATAAAAAATTGTTTCGAGATATTTTTTTTTAAAATCAAGTTGGGGGGAAAAGTTCTCAAGTAAGTATGAATAGATCAAATCTGAAGTGTTACTATTTATTATTATGTGTATATCAGTTTCGTAATTTTTTAGTTTTTATTTGACTTTGAATCATTACTATAATTTTTTAATAGAATTTAGTATTTTGATTAAAATAAAAAAACAATTAGAATATTTTATTTTTTGTTCTAAATATATATTTTTCATATGTAGAGAAAAATGAGCAACAAATTCTTCATGATCGTCTATTATAATGGACAAATTATGAAAAATGAGGTCGGTGTTGTTTTTCAATCTAAAAGACCTATAAATATACATCACATTTATAAAAATGAAGGAGATGATAGAAAGAAAAATACAAGCTATAATTGATGGGATGAGGTTCAAGTTTATGATATGTCACAATCCAATCACGTATGCTGCAATATCAGTTGAAGATGATGATGATATTATAACTATGAGAGGTTTTTTAATGAGATATTTTCTAATAAGGGTTGTCTCGTCATATCAATCATAAAAAAATAAATTATAAGAATCTCAAATGTAATTTAATATATATTGACTCTATAAATTGAAAAGTTAAATAGTGTTAATTTATATAGATATATAAGTGGAATGTAAGGTTTTATTTGTTAATAACGTGGAACTAAAAGTTAAAAGGAATTTAAAGTCAATACAACTTTACTGGAGCCCTAATTATGCTATCTCCGCGTAAGGTAACT